TTGAATGATGATAAATGACATTTCTTCCGGATAATTTAAACACAAACGCTGTGATTTCTTCATTCCAATATACAATTGCTTTCCTTATGATTTCACAGCAAATTTGAGCCTCTTAGAATCTTCAAGTTTAAAAGTAAGTATTCATACTTAAAACGAAATTTTCATATTGTACAAAAAAATTATCCTCAATTTCTTCAATCTCTCTACCTCACTGTTAAATCGATGCACAGCTTTTTTTCTTTTTTAAAAAAAAATATTTGTTATTCCCACTCTCTTACATAAATAAATTGAGAATTTGTTATAGACAGCAATAAAAATACCAGAAAACAGTGTCACATTGATGATTCATGCACATTTACCTACAAATCTTTGTTTGAATAACTTCTTCTTCCATAATTTCACATTATCCTTCCAGAAATCTGGAATCTTGCTAGCACTAAGTTACTGTCATTTTAATGAGAGATGAAATGAGTAATTCTTAATTTATCAATTTCCCTTTAAATATGAATGATTCCTTCCGCCTTCTTTTTTCCCCTGATAGATATGCAGGAAAAAATTTTTTTCGATATTTCCTCAATCTTAGATCGCCCCTAGCTATATTCTCATCCAGGTAAAAAGAGAACTCTTAGATTTCACAGTTAGACAATCATTTTGGATGAGAGAAAAATATAATAAGTCTCGAGATAGCACGGGGCCAGAAAGTCTAGAACAAAACTTTGCAGACAAGTTTCTAATTAAAAACTATGTTTGCTTCATTTACTTAATAATTTCACTAGTACGATTTACTTTTTAAGTTGAATTTTAGTTATGCCTCTACACCACTGCTAATGATGCTAAAATATTAAGATATGACTGAATAAAAATAAATTCTCAAACAATTTAATAAGTTATATTGATAAAAAGATGGTGGACCGATGTTTTAAAGTAGAAATCATTAGATGTACTATCATCAGTATTAAAATGCATTTAACGATTTCCATTTTAAATAACACCAAAATTTTAATATAAAATGTTTGTATTTTGACGATGGAATTTCGAAGTAGAACAAGAATGACCTTAAGAAGCGAACATAATACTTGAAATATTTATTATTAAATTGGAAATTGAAAGTCTTCAATTCTTACTCATCACTGCGTCAAAAATCATATTTGAGCTCTTAATGAGCTGCACTGTTTTAATTGTATGAAATTAGCTCCAACTAATTTGCAGATCGATTTTGCCTTGATTTAATCAGTCATATTAAGAATTAAATTAATAGATTTCAACTATATCGATCAAAAGTGGGAATGTTTTTTGAGAATTTGAATAACTAAATACTAATATAACATAAGACATGTTTGTAATAAATTCATGCTGATATTTTACAGAATGTTTGTATACTATCGATATATTTTTTTAAAGATTCAATTAAAATGTTCAATTAAAGCAATCGAATAATTTGCATTCATTCCTTCAGCACCAATAGAAATAGCTTAAATGGGATTTTCACACCTTTAGCTTCAAAATATAATTGAATGATCAAAAAAGATTGCATTGAGAGAAATATGACACTGTCATGTTGAATAGACTAAGTAAACGAAAATTAAGAAGGCAGTTGTTTGTAGCATAATGCAAAGTTAAGAAATGCCCATGCTCCTATTCTTCAATAAAGGAAATCAATATTTTACTAATGTCATTAGTAAAAAGAAAATGGTTTTTAAATTTAATGTAAAACATCATAGTTTGATTCTCATTTAAAACGTCAAATGAAGCATTTCAAGTAATTGAAATTTTGAGTTATATTATTCCTTTGATTCCTAAAAGAGGAACCGAAGTTAAAACTTCAATTTATTATTTTACCTTCTCTATATGTTTAACAACCCTAAGTTCATTTTTTTGCGAGAGATTATATCCAGAAATGATTAAGAAAACCTACACACGAAATTAAGAAGACACAGTTTCATCTATTGCTATTTTAATATTTTAAAAATATGATAATCTTATATTTCCTAAAGAAATCCGCAAAAATTTAATTTTAAGCTAAAAACAATCAATAAGTTTTTGTAAAACAAAGAGACCATCAATCAAAACCGTGAAAGCATACGCACCCAAAATCTGTGGTCTCTTTTTCCTCCCGAGTGAAGAAATTGCGAATGAAATTATTAAGATTTTATACCTTAGATGCGAGTATTTCGGCATGCAATTTCAATAAACTGGAAAGGAATTGAGTTGATGCAAACTTTTACAACAGTTAAAAAGTTGAAATCATTAACTCAATTATAAGTTGAAGCTGAATCAACAGTGGATAAAATAGACAAGAATGCGGAAAATGGTATAACGCCGCCATGATGTAAAGACAGGATTGAAGATCCGGTTTCAGTTTTAATGCACGTCACTAAATTGATAGTCCGCTATCCTCCTTCCCTTTTTTAAAGAGTGTTGATGAGATGTGTAAATGTTGCTCTCTTTCATACACGCACATGGAGACGACATGAATGGAATGTGACAATTCTTAATTGTTTTCCCATTTTACAAACAACCCAGTGACCTTTAGCCTTCTCGCAAAACTGCAAATCTATTTCTCGAATTTTAAAGCAAATAAGGAATTTAAACTATTTATCATGCTAAAAATCTTCAAGTTATTTCTCTCTCGATCGTCACACTTGCAATTTGCATTTTCGAAAAAAATAATTTTTCAATTTTTTATAGACAGAAATACTAAGAGGAAAAAATTTTCGTAAAAAGTGGGTAATCAGCCTTATTTTTTTAATGTCTAGATAATTTCTTATCTTATCAAATTAGAAGCTATGTGAAGGAAGAAAGTAAAGAAAGTATTCTATGCGCGTGGCATCTATAAAAGTTGTGAAGGCGGAAATGTAATCAATATATTAAAATGCATCGCAATATAATGTGGTGAAACTGAGAATTATTGTTGCATAGGTAAATCTTGATGATTAAAGAGTTCAGAATCGACTTTCAATAATATAGAAATTCTCATTTTAAAGTCAGAAGTAGTGACATCCATTACTTTTAATGAAACAATCAGATCTTCGCACTTGAAACTAATGAAGTAAAATTTACTTCTGTACCCGATAATCGTAATGAAATATTGATACTAGAAGTTGGAAGTTAAAAAAAAAGATCAGAAGGTCGACAAAATTATACTGAAAACAAAAAATAAACATTCAAGTGTTTGCTGCTGAAATAATAGGAAGCCACCAAATAAACTGTAAACCTTCATAAAATCATGCTAGACAATTCGAGATCAATAAATTAAAAAAAGTAAAACTAAAACTAAAACTATGTAAACGTCATTTTCTAATGGGCTGAAGAGAATAAGGAACCAATTTTATAAATTCCTTTCTAATTCAAGAAAGCCATTCAACAATAAAAACAAAACATTCAAACGACTATTTAGCACTTCCCGGAATCAGTTAATGTCTTTTTTAAATCATGGATTACGTGATTTCCTCTTCTCTTTTTTCTTTCTTCTCGAAAGTATAATGTCATCGCATCTCCCAAACTTCTATTATAAACTTCCCTCTGACAAAAACTCCGCTTCCCCAAACCCATAAATAAATAATTATAGATGGAAACACTATTAATGACAATTAATACTTTATGCGATGCTACACAACAAAAGCTGTCAACAACAATTCCTTCCACCAACGAATTTTCCATATTTCTTTTACAATATTCTTGTTTTAGCGATATAGCCATAAGCGAGCTTAGTTAATTTTTGTGGACATCCAGAAGTAAACCATAACCAAATTAATAATGTTAGTCCAGGTCCAGTGTTGCACAATACTGGGCTGAATTTAATCACATCTGGCAAATGATTCCTTTGCTTATACTTCGGCTCTTAAACTTGAATTAAATACACACCTTAAAAGCATGTCAGAAACCTTTGAAGTTGAGTGAATTTTTAATTTGATTTCATTGTAAATTCAATTTCAAATAAAATTTTCTCCTCCCCCTCATATACGCTACAAATAATTTCTTCGTAAGATATCACAAGCGGATGAAAATACAAGTCTTCCATCTAAAGTGCTCCAAATACTTAATAAGTACTATATTTAAAAACTATATAAATTCGACTGTTCTGAATCGCCTAACACATATAACAAAAGCTTTCCGGTTTATTAAAGCTTTCGAGAACAGCACCAAATATCCAATGAAAAGTTCAATGGAGGAGAAGTCTTCTCAAATAGGTGGTAAAATATATTATTTGATTAGTTATTATTTGAATGTAATAAGAGAATAATACATATAATCTTAAAATTGCATATACAAAATGCACAAGAAAAAGACAATTGCGTTTAAAGCTTGCAAATGAAATTTACAAACATTAAAGTCAAATTTTGATTTTAATAGCACAAAATGATTTGCTTACAGAAAGAAATATAAATGAAACACCGGTGACAAATTTCAAAATATATTCAGTAAAATCGCATCCTTATATATGTTAATGTCAACTATGAGAAATAATAATTTCGAATTCACAAGCACGGTTAATCTAAGAGCGAAGAATTTTAGAAATTGAATAAAAGCAGGAAACAGGGAACAATGAACAATTTAAAAATTTGGGAGTAAGTCGTGCCCTGCAATTAATATTTCCACTAATCAGTAGATAAGATGGCATGATTTGAAAGTTTCATCTCAAAATTTCTTTGGAAACTTTCAATAATGGCTACGAGTAGTACGAAATCATTCTCTCGGAGAATATATGATAAATCTTGTGAAAGATATATCATCGTAGCATCCAAAATTTAATACTACCACAGTATATATGATACTTAATATAGGATCAATGGAATGTCTTCACCGTATCAATTCCAAATTTATATTCATTTTCATTAATAAACAATTGTATAAGCACTAGATGAGCATTAAAACTATTGAATAGTTTCAATTAATAATCGTTAACATTTGTGAGGATTATAATCGTCGATAAAGGAAGAAATATTCTATTAACTCGCAGCTATCATTCTAGAAATCCTCAATCATTACTAAAGTCAACTTTATTCCAAAAGTTGTTCGCTCTGAATTTGCATTTCACGAGATAATCCTGATGATATTGAAGTCTTCGGTAATATGATTTTCTGCAATGCAAAATGAACCATGAAATAACGACGACAAGTTCGCAAACGCTATTTTATAAACTTGGAAAAAGATTATACCTCACTTACAGATAAAGCTTTCGGATCACATTCTTCCAGCTTATATTCTAATTCAATTCCTGGGATAGTACACAACGGAGGTGTTATGAACTCTTCCACACATTTCTTATCTTCACTTATTGCTGTTTGTTCTTGGTTTTCTAAAATATAAGAATTCAAACAAGCGAATAAAAAAGCTCGTACATTTCTGGAATCATTTTCTCAATGCATTAAAAATTAAGCATTTTTTAATGCTTATAAAGCAATTCATAAAATTTTCACTTATTATCGCTTATTTCTTCTCGACATTCAAATACTATATCAAACAATTGGAAAAAGTACAAAAATGATTAAAAAACAAAAACTGTTTGCATTTTTGTTACTCATTTTCAATAACTGACCAGAAAAGTCATTGCTGTTGCATTTGGATCTTCTACACCGTTGTAGCGGTTTCCACTTTGATTGAATAGATCGTGATATCTTTTCAGAGACCGTCCAGTCTTCATCAGAGCAAAAAGACTTCACCGACTCTTCACCTATGATTTTTTACATCTAGTGCATCAATATTTATTGAAAAAATATTTCATTTGCAGTTTTCAAACGAATCTAGAAATGTTATTTTAAAAAATTTAGAGACTAAATTTTAAAGCTATGTTATGGTCATCAGAATATAAGATGGAAAGAAAAATTCTTACTTGAGGTATCTTCAGCAGGCTGCTGACTAACTGTTCCAGCCTGTTCATTTCTAGTTCCATTAGTGCTTGCCTCATCACCATTTTGAAAATCACTGAAAATGTATTTGATAAGAAAAGAATACTGACTCATGCAGAGAGAATGAACAAGATGCATAGCTGTAAATTTCATTTTTTCAATTACTTTTCACCAACAAAAAAATTAAGCTCTTATTTAGAACAATTATAAGTGCAATTTGTAAATCGATTTTGATATATCGTTCACATTCAAAATAATCAATATCGCAAGTGATAAATTTCTGGATCAATCATAACAATATTACAGCACGCTGCATGACTACATATAGAGAGGTGTAGAAACAGCTTGTCCTATCTGTGACCATATCATATTTATCCCTCAAACTAAAAATTTATATAAAAAATCATTGAATCTGATTCTTCAGAAAGATGAGAAAACATAATTCATACACTCCCACAGAGCCTATAAGCAACTTTTTCATATCAAATCAATGCTTCCAAACTTTCAACCAGTTAGTCAAAGAAATTCTCGAATTTTAAAATGAAATTTGAAACAGAACGTCAATATAGCTGCAAAAAAGGAAAAACCAGATTGTTGATCTAATTTAATTCATGAGTAATTAGAAGCATTTTGCGTCAACAGATCTAATCTTATTTAGTTACAACTAAAAACTTTTGCAGTAAAAATCGAAATACTTGCCAAAAATAATCATCTCGCCGGAATGGAAGGGATAATTGACGATTGATGTCTGAATTTTGTTGGGATTCACTGTCCTAAAAAATGAAATCCAACGATGCTTTATTAATAAATCTCCTACGATCTGAATTACAAACAGGTAAAAGCTTATAGCAGCCCATAGTGTTACGGTTACTGAATAATGATTCAACTATCAAAATTCAAGAAACCAACTGCACAATATTATTTTGTTCTCGGGTATGACATCAATTAGTCGAAACGAAAAGAAGTCAAATCGATACACTAAGTTAACAAAAATCATTTTGAATTAAATAAAAATCACTATGCCTAATAAATAAAATATTTCTTTGAATTTTCATGTTGATATATTTTTTTCGCTCTAAAATTAATTCCTTAAGTGTATAGGAAGAAAGGCATTTGTGTATGCAAATTAAATGTGAAAAGTTTTAAAATGACAATCGTGACAATGATCAGTAAGAGCAAACTGAACATTGCAATTTATTCAAATTACTTCAAAGGACAAACTTCTCTTTCATCACTTTCATCGCTTTCATCCAAATTCTTTATCGTAAGTTCAGCAAGCACTTGTCGAGTAACCTCTTGTCTTATTTCATGCATGAAATTTTGTGAAATTTGACAATATGTTGCTTTGTCGCTATTGATTGGGATGTTTTCCTGCAATAACTCGAAATTATTTATTACTTATAGCTCTCAATATTTTTATTTCTTAAAAAATTTATGCCTTTTTTCTTATTTAAAAAGAAACATCATATTTTTTTAATATATGAACTCCCATTTCATTCCATCACTGACTAAAGAATTCGACGTTTTGCAATTAAACTTATTCACATAAAGAAATGTATTTTTCTGATGCAGGAAAATTGAAATATAAAAATGTTTAAAAAAAATCTCCTAGATAAATTATTGAATGCTTTTTAAATCCAATCAAATTCTGAAATTCAAATCATTATTCTTCACCTTATTCCAGTTCTTCTGATCGTCATCGAGGGCCATTTTCAGAGTTAGTCCTTCTAACTGCAAAATTAAAAGTTATGTTTTAACAGAATACAGAATGATCAATTCTTGATTGAAATATACTGCGGTAAGAAAAAGAAAATATAACAATTATTTTAGTAAATAAATAAAGCGAACGCAGAACTAATCAGATATCTAACAAAAGCACAATTGTCATGCAAAATAAATTATTTTACACTGCCATATTATCATTATTACTATAATCAGTAAAAATAACAATGATAGCAATGATAATGAATGATAATGAAAATGATAGTAATAACAATTATAATGATAATTAATGGTAGTAATAATAAATTATAACTCAGTGTTAATTATTCCCTCATTATTATCACCAATCACTAGGAAATGTCAGGCATAATTCTCGTGATCCGGATTTTTGAATTTCACAATCGATCGTCAGCTCACGAGCTCGGTTACACAACTTTTGTTACATCAAATCTCCAAATCCATTCCAATGGTCACTCAATAGTATATGCCAAGAAATATGAAAAAATTTTGGCGCCATTTTCGAAAAAAAGCGAAGCAAAAATTGTCACCCTCCTCCCTGCACGGACATGGTTTATCAAACCCTTTTCCGATCACGTCTTCTCATCTTTCTCTTTCTGTCCCATCCATTCTTCTCGTCACTTATTACCTCTTACATAGCAATTGTCATCTCACTGCAACAGCTTAAATTTCAGTGACCTCAGATTTTCTCCTCGTAATTCATCTAATTACGTCATAGGTCATAGTTTCATATCTCATCATATTTTTCACTTCCATTTTCTTCAAATAATAAAACTCACAATGAAAGTAGCTACGAAATACTGAATTAGAACTACTATAATATCATCGTTGGGGTGTAATTAATGATACTCCAAATATTATCATTACTGATTCGATATTATCGATTAATACTAATTCGATCATTGTCAATTAATTTCGAAGAAAAAGGAAAAAGTTAAATCGAGAGAATGCCTTAATAGGACAATGAGAAAAGACTTAGAGGACATTCTATCTCGCATTTTGTGTCTCATCGTTGTAGTTTGCCGCACTTAACAACTTTATCAAGCATCATTAAGAATAAAATATAAAAGCAACACTGAGGTAGAATTATTCGTCATTAATCTCAATCACGTTATTGATATTGCTATGAAGACGAACGGTGCTAAAACAGTAAATGCTACTTGTTTGAATCATCTCATCGCAGAATGAGAGATGTCAAAAAAATGTAAATTGGCAGAGATGTTCAACTGGATTGTGCAAAACGAATCACACGTGAATTCGATCGTTCCAATCTTTTACATTTCAAGAGACTTTGACGGCTCTACTTTAAACTATTCATTTCAGACACATATTGTGAACAGAGAAGTTCACCACATAATATCCAATCAATCAGAATCAGATTTACATAATCTTCACCGATTGCTGCATATCAACCAAAAAATTGCATTTGCGAATCATATGAAATTAATTATTGTATGCCATTAATATATCACATGAATTCTTTTTTGTATGCGATATTCGATACTGCTTTATGTTGATGATGTATCGACAATTATAATGTATGAAAGAAAATTTCAGTTTTAATTTGACACATGTACAGAAAATGAGTAGTTTTCTGGTAAACAACAATTATAGCATGGATTTATTTATAGAACAAAAATAATTGCGATGAATTACAATTAGCAGTATAAGGAATCTATAAAGGATAAAACTCTTTCATTAGTGAACTGAGATTGCAAGGATGCATAATTTAGTTGAAATAAGTCAAACGATACTCTGTTGTGCTAATTATCAACATTAACCTAACCTGTATTTCTGTTGAAAAAAAACAAAGAAGTGAGATATATGTCAGTCATTCATACAAAATCATGACATTTAGTTATTTCTAAATAAAATAATGGTGAGAAACAGTAACTGCAAAAATCCTTTCCGTTACGACAATTATCATTTACAATTATCATAATCATACGGAGCTTTCATTTTCAAATCGATGAATGTGAATGAATGATGGACGGCATACGAGCACTTCCTCAGGATAATCTCTCCCATCTTCCTTCCTTTTCTTCCTATCTCGCAAAAGAAAACTGCTAACTTTAGAATCTAACCCTTTTTCTGAAATACCTGTATGACTGTCTATATATCACGTTCCAATATTATAACAATAGAACGAGATGTGAAATCTTATTAATTCTAGAGACTTTTGAAGTTCAGATGAATTTCTCAATTGTTAGATTCCTCAAACCTTCTAAATAATATGATTAAAAAGAGGAGGGAAAAGGAAGAATTATTTTTACAAGGCTTCATTAAGCATGCAAACTGGGAAGAGTAAACAATGTCTGAGGCATCACAGTAACCAATGATCAGTGAAAAAGGAAGTTTGGGTGGACGAGGAACAATTGTACAATATGGTACCTGACAATGTACGATTTCTGGAGGGAAAACAGAGAAGACGACAAAGAGGCAAGCATTGTAATAGCTGATGGGGTGAGGGTATCACCGCATTGACCGGTGAAATTTACCATCGCATTCCGCATTACTCATCGCACGACCCAACTGACCCTTCCCCTTTCCCATAATTCCCCACCCACTCCTAGCCATCAGGTAGCACACATTGTCAACCTTGACGTCCTTATAATGATGAGGAATAATGAACGTCAATTAATTCCACCCAATAAAAATCACTTTGACCATGCTGAATTCATTTTACTATGCGAAAAAATGCGATGGCTAGAAATTTTCAAAACTGAAATCATTCTAAAATTTAATCGCTTTGAAATCATGAAATTCAACAATTTTTATATCATCTGAAATTATTGGAATCAATGAGTGAGAAACTTCCAATGAGAGCAAAATTTTTATTCTCATAGTTATGTATTTGAAACGTTGTGTATAAACAAGTACAATAACATTAGAAAGATTCAACTTATTTGTAAAAAGATTAACTGCCGAATTCTGGAATAAAAACAATCTACAAACTTCTTAAATGTTGATCTCAATATTATTAAATTATTTCAGTAAACATTTAGGAGGATCCATCGTTTATACTAGAAATTCCATAGCGCTGAAAAAAATTAACAAATATCCAAATCCATGTAACAAAGTTTGTTGACTGTTCGGAAAACAATTCTTCAGGCAAACTCACTCTGCCATGATATGACGAAAATTTAGTTGAATTAATAATTATAGGACACCTAACAAAAGGAACATCCCCGAAAAAATTCGAACTACTTTCATAATGATGAAGCTAAAATATTATAATAAATTAATTATGGTATGCTGAGATTAAAATCAAGTTAAATCTCAATATGAGGACAGTGTAGAGAAATCAACTTGTACATTAACGTTTAATTCTTTAAAATTTATAACGAATAATATACCTGTAACACAGCACCAAAGACAACACCAGCAATGAGAAATGAAATACGAATAAGCCAACTAGGAAGTGAACTAGGTAATGAACGTCTCCGTTCTATTAGCAATTTAAGATATTTGAATTTTTTGTCCGTAAATGGTGGATATCGCATGCTAAAATTAATGACGCATTATACTTTACAATATCTGTAATTGACTAACAGCTATAGTCTAAGTTATTTACTAAGTTATTTAGGACCAATTCTGAAGTTGCTACGAAGATTTTAAAACACTGTATTGTTAGAGGTTAAGGAAAAATTCTACTGCAAGAAAAATTTTGCTTTGTACACGCAAAAAATTACTGCAAAAACTTACGCAAATAAAGCATCAGCAAAGAAACCCCTTATTAACAGTGCTTTATGGTTACTGAATGTGTCGAAACCAAATTTTCCGCGATATCTGCCCATACCACTTTGGCCTACACCGCCAAATGGAAGCGTATCAACTGCAATTACATAAATTCGGGAAAAAATGAAGATTCGAATAAATTTATAAAACAAATATAAAAGTTGAGAAATTTTTTTCTTATTTCTCGAGCTTATCAAACATGCGTTTAGCAGAACTTACTGATAAACTGAAATGTAACATCATTCACAGTTACGGAACCACTTGAAGTTTCCGCATATAATTGCCGCACTTTCTTTTCAGATCTAGTAAAAAGATAGACAGCAAGTGGTTTTTCTCTCGATCGAACAAAGTTGATTGCCTCATCAAAACCATTGGTAGTAACAATCGGCAAGATAGGCCCAAATATCTAAAGCTATCTGATATTAAAAATTCACTTGATAAAACAAAATATGAAAGAGTTATTCTGACGGGAGCGAAGAGAGAACAAGAAAAAGCTTACTTCATCCTCCATTAACACGTCATCTGCAGAAACAGCAATTATGATTGGAGGAATAAATAAGTCACTACGACTAAGTTCGCCACCTTTGTACAAAATCTGTCCATTGCTGCGTGCAAGCAAACTCGATAATCTACTGAAAAACAAACTGAATGTTAAAAAAATAATGTACAAACAACAGAATAAAAATACACACAATGAAACCGACTAAATTTTTCGTGAAGATTCTATAAAGTTTCGAAGCAAGGACTGTTTCAATAACACACTCAAAATGCTTCTCATTGATGATTCGGCTGTAATCGTCGCTTTTTTCAGGCTCCGAACCATAAAATTCTTTTAATCGTAGGATGAATTCATTTACTAATGTTGTTTTCAGTGTCTCCGTGACAAGAACATAATCCGGTGCAATACAAGTTTGTCCACAATTGGTCCACTTTCCCCAGACAATGCGTCGAGAGCTTACTTCCAGATTTGTATCACTTTCCACGATTACTGGACTAAAAAAGACAGAAATGCAGTTTCGGCCTAATTAGATGTAAACCTTTCACAAGTCAGGATAGTACAACTCACTGAAAATAAAAACAAACGAAAGCACGATATTCCAATCGAAATTATTCCACCAATCAAAACTATTTCTACAATCCGCTGATTTTTCCGAAAAAAACTGCTAGAGTGTCTACTTTTTTCTCCCTAAATTTCAGCAACGTAATAACTTTCTCACAGAATGAATATTCTTGCAAATCAAAACGCATTACATTACAAAAGAAACAAAGGCTTAATGCGAAATCATATTACTGACAGAAAAAGCTACTTCCTCAAATCAGGTCGTTCAGACTCCTGAAGTTATCTAAATAAATAAAAAAAACCACATCCTATCCCGTCTTTGAAATAGTTTGTAAATTTAGTAAGCTGGCACTTTTAGCAAAAAATATGCGGATAAATCGTTTTCCTCATAAAATTCATGTTAGAGAATTGAATTAATAAATAAAGTTTTTAAGCAGAAAGTAAACCTTTTTCCGCCCAGTTCAAGCGTGACTGGTGTAAGATGGTGCGCAGCCGCTACCATAATAATCTTAGCAACAAGTGAATTTCCTGTATATAAGATATGATCAAACTTCTCTTTCAAGAGATCCGTTGTTTGAGTCACGCCACCACTCACAAACGCCAAAAACCGCTGCAATTTTCTTGCATTCACATATGAAATTTCAGAATTCAAAAACATTATTACACTATATTTCATAGAAAAATAAATTATTGTTTAATTCAATTCTCAAAATTTAAAAACCGATCGAACCTTTGCAAATTTAAAAGACTTGCCGGATCAAAAAAGTGTGAAAAAAGATCATGTAAAGCTGCGGAAGTGAAAGGTGCATATTCGGATGGTTTCACTATTACCGTGTTACCTAAAACTTATACAAATAATTATAAAGATACTGTCGTATGATTTTCAAGAAAGTGGCCATATTAAACGTCCTGAATGAAGATGCCAATGTGGACACAAAAGCATAATGAAAAATCAAATAAAGCTTTTCTTCTAATCCATCCAAATCCAATTCATCACTACGAAAAAGGGGAAATAATAATAACAAGTTGTATGAAATTCAAGACTCAATATCCAAGACAATTATTCAATAACTCACCGGCAGCAATCGCTGCAACTAGAGGTAATAAAACGAGGCTCAACGGATAATTCCATGGAGCAATGATAAGGACCACACCCAGTGGTTCTCTGATGACGGCTACAGTGTCTAAAAGTGACAGGAAAGTTTTCCTGACCTGAAAGTTTTTATAAGACTGTAGAAAAAAATTGCAATGTCTAGCTAACGCATATCCCTTCCAATACACTTCATCATTCTGCGTATTTTAAATCATAACTTACTGGTTCAAGTGAGCTCCACTCTTTCAAATTCTCCAGCATATAATCAATCTCAACAAAAACAAGACTCAGTTCCAAACAGTGTGTTAATTTTGATGACTGAAAAGGCTGACATGTATAGAAAATATTTTAAAATCTTTGATAATAAATTAGACAGTATGCATCACAATGATGACAATAATAGAATTCAGTACGTAGGCTTTTCAGTCTAATGTTTAGTATCTATTAGTAATGGAATTAAATTTTTTCAGACATGGATTCTATTATATGCTTATCAATGAAGAGATCACTTTGCGATTAATAGAAGACCAAAAAAGCTTCAAGCAAACAAACAAACACATGTTACGAGAAAGACTGGGATATTTGGAAGAAAAACAGGCATGAAATGGATTTTTTCTTTTAAATTGGCTGCATACTTTTAATGAAATATATTACATTTCAAAAGCTTACTCGTTTAAGATCGTTATACACAGCTTTAGTAAGAACATCACCTTCCTCAATTAGGAGCCGCTTGAGATTTAGAAGCTGCTTTCGGCGGTGCTCCAGTTTAGCAGTAATACCCGTAAAAAAATAAGCTCTCTGTTCCTCTACCAACTGTAACAAATAAAAACAAAAGAGAATCCAAAAAAAGAAATCGGAAAAAGTTAAACCTGAACCAGGTGTAAGGACAAAAATTAATCGAAACTTCTTGAAAGTTATTTAAAAAGAGATAAATCTAACGATAATGGAGCAGTACATTATCACTGTCATTACCTTATGATAGGGACCATCCTGCTTGCTTGCTGCTGCTGCCATAAAACACTTCCTCAACAATACGCCGTCGTATTCCTGAAGTAGAGGAACTATAATGTTTCTCCATTGTAAACCGGAGGAAGCCGACTTAAACAAGTCATATTGATTGATGACAAAAGTATCACACATCTCTCTTTCTCTCATTCTGCACGACTTTCTTTGACCTTCAACAACAAACACATATCATCTGATAAGAATCTCACCACAAAATTAAAATTAATGACATAAGCTGAAAAGACTAAAGGAGTAAAGGAGTGGCCGGGGATTGCATACATTCGCCTAGCATTTGATAAAAAAGAAGCATTGGTTCAGAGAAAAACGAAGAGTAGCATATTTATTGATGGAATTTCGTGCAGTCTATCTATGCTTGCAGGCTATCAATTGTCCTTAATGACATGGATAAGGACTAGTATCCGCTCCAAGCATTTTAAATTTTTAGTTGCTTATTCTTCAATTATGATAACTCAAAGATATTCTGTGCAGGATGACTCGAAGATTATCATAACTAAACAGATATGTGGAGATTATAGCTTCACCAATAGTAGTAATGTGGTCGATTATCTTCTTCGATCGATTTACTAATCTACCATTCAATTTGTATTGTAAGTATACTTTTCTTTGATACCTAACTTGTGTCGCGAAAATCGAAATAATTTATAATATGTATAAATGATTAAAACAATTGTATATATTTCTCACTAAAGTAAAAGAAGTTAAAGAATAATTGTTAGATATTGTTTTCAGTGTGAATAAAGTTCGAATAGTGAATAAAACAGGTTGTCTTAGGCCGTAGGGCAGGTAAGCTACAGAAGCAGAACTAGAAACCGAAAAATTAAACTTGTATATTCCTAATCCATATATATTATGTATAT